TGGCTGTTCCTGCTGTTCTGGGTGGGGGCCGCCAGCCAGGGGAGCCGGGGCGAGGAGCCGGAGCTGCACGCCTGCAAGGAGGTACGGGGAGCCCGGCTCTTCTCTGGGGGCGCTGGGACCAGGGGCTGCATGCCTTGTAAGAGGGGGCGAGGGAGGGACTTGATCTAGGGGCTGGGGAGAGGGGTATGAGCAGAGCTACAGGCCCTGTGTATGCCCTAAGGGGCTGTATGGAACAGTGGGAGGGGCTGCAGAGATGGAGCCTTGTAAGGGGTATGTAGGTTTGGGGTAGGGGAGCCAGAGAGAGAGGTGCAGTCTAGGCAGTACAGGGTAGCCAGGCAGCAGTGAGGCTGTGCTGGGTCTGATTGCCAGATTTATTTATAAAACATGGCAAAGTGCCATGTCTGATGTGGGGTAAGGTGCTATGTAGATGCATTGGAGGGCTGGGGGAAGGACAAACAAGGCTGCCCTGCCTCGCTAGAGTTATCATTGCCTTACAAAAGCACTAGGGAGAGCTACAGGTTTGGGCTCTCTGGCACCCTTGGTGCTGCTGCTGGAATTGGCCCACTAAACATGTTAGTAGCAGAAGCAAAACACTCCATTTACTCCTGTCCCTAAAAGCATGTGCTAGGGGAGTCCCACTCAGTGGAGCCATCTTCCTACAGACAAGCACCAAACCAAAACCCTGAGCAGGAGTTTCCCAAGGAGGGCAGCTCCTGGCAAAGTAAGGCCATCCTACAGGATCAGCTTGGTCCTTTGTGAAATCTGGTGTACATAGCACTGTGCTCCCACTGTGCTGAGCCCTTGGCATTCTGGTTCCATAGCTCCCCTTGCTGGTTCTAGGAAAGTGTAGTGCATTGCTACATCCCTGTTAAAAGCAGAGGGGCACTGCCCCATGTCCTGCCTGCCACTCATGCTCACCCTTCTCACTGACTATTGGCACTAATCCCACCGGACAAATGGTCTCTTCTCTTGGGCAAGGCTGCCTGTAAATTGAGCCATGGCTTTCTGCTAGGTGACTGGAAGGAATTTCTGTTTGTGTGTATTGGTTCGTCGTCTTTCAGAAAAGGTTGGGTGGTGAAAGTGAACAGTGATGAAGGAAGGAAAAAGGAGGGGAAGGGGCTGGAGACAGTCAAAGCTCCACTAGGAAGAGCAGCTTCCGCCAGCTTCTATTCTCCTTGTCAGGAATGGCTTGAGTTTGCTACACTCTGGCCAATGGAGCAGTTTTCCACTGATGTGAGTGGGAGCAGAACCAAGCCTCTTCACTGGGAAATACTCCTCTTCTAATGCTTTTGCTCTCCCCCTCCATGTGGTTCTTGATGGCACTGGACTGGGCCCTTTATAAGCCCACCAAAAGCACCCCCTGGACTTGAGTGGGGCTTGGATTAGGCTCTCACTCCTCCACTCTAGAGCAGTGGTCTCAACCTTTTTAACCACAAGATCACTTTTTCAGTTTAAGTGCAATGTAAGATCCATCTCAAACAAAAAACCCCTTGCCTGGCTTCCTTCCCGCCCCTTCTTTGAGGCCCTGCCCCTACTCCACCCCTTCTCCAAGGCCTCACCCTGCTCACTCCATTTCCCTTCCTCCCCAAATCTCACTCACTTTCACCAGGCTGGGGTAGGGAGTTGGGGTGCAGGCTCCGGTCTTGGGTCAAGGGGTTTGGAGTGTGGGAGGGGACTTCCTGAAGGAAGGGATGGAAGGAAGCATTTCTCAGCTTCCATGTCAGTGAGATCAGGGTCTCTGTGTTTGTTTTAGCCAGAGGAGAGGGATGCTCTTTGATACAGTTCAGCCATATACTGTAATTCTGGGTCATCTGTTTGTAGTAGATTTTTCCATCCTGGTAACTTAGAACATAAGAATGGGTCAGACCAAAGGTCCATCTAGCCCAGTAGCCTGTCTGCCCTGGAGGGGGTGAACCGAAGACAATGATCAAGCGATTTGTCTCATGCCTCTGACAAACAGAGGCCAGGGACACCATTCCTACCCTCTGGCTAACTTAGAGTTTGCTGTTTGACTTCCCAGTCCTACTCATGTGATGAGGTTGGGGGCCCATTCTTAATGGGATTTCCAGGTCTAGTGTTAGACTTGCTGGGGTGCACCTAAGCCTCACTGTAGGGCAGCGGTGGATTAGGGCAGGGTGAGCGGGGTGGCTGCCCCGGGCCCCACGCTTCCCGAGGCCCCGCGCATGCGCCTTGGCACCACGGCGCATGCACTGTGTCAAGGGGGGCCCTGCGAAATTTTGCTGCCCGGGGCCCTGCAGCGCTGCCCTGGGCCCTGCCGCACACTCTTCCACCCCTGCTGTAGGGGGCCAAAATGTTGAGAGCTGCAGCCCTGGGAAGTGGGACTCAGCTCACAGGTCCCTTGAAGCTCTTGGTGTGGGGGGTTATCCCCTCATCCAGCAGAATGGGGTTCGATCTTTGCCTTTTGACTCTTGCCTTACACAGGATCTCAGGCTTTCGTCCTCCTGGAGTTGTGTAGTGATTTTTGTTGTCAGAAGGGGTTTGTGATGGAATGGAGTTTGGCAAGGGCAGGATTTGGTGACGCGGGTGACTGTTGCAATATTTCTTCTTGTATTTGTGTGTTATTTGCCCAAACCCCCCAAACATGGGAGGAGGGCAGCTCAGTGGTTTGGGCATTGGCCTGCCAAACCCAGGGTCGTGAGTTCAGTCCTTGAGGGGGCTATTTAGGGATCTGGGGCACATCTGTGAGGGATGGTACTGGGTCCTGCCATGTGGGCAGGGGACTGGACTCCACTCAATGACCTCTCAAGGTCCCTTCCAGTTCTATGAGATAGATATATCTCCATGTATTATATATTAACTTAGCAGCTATAGATGAATGTAGCTGTTTAATAATCCATCTGTGGAGACCTCAAGGTGAGGAGAGATCACTTGATGTGTGTCTGGCAATTGCTGGACATGTGTCCAAAGCAGCAGTCTGGTTGGCAGGCCGAACCCACAACCAACTCATCTGATGCAGTGGGCTTCACGCTTGAAAGCTCATGATCCTTTACATTTGTTAGTCTTTAAGGTGCTAGGGTTGCCAGATGGCAGGGCTAGGGTTGCCAGATGGCAGCAACAAAAATACCAGACACACTTGACATTGTATCACAATCTACATTACATCTTACTTAGAAAATACTGAACACTTGTATTTTCTCAATTTGTTTCCCAAACAGAGAGCTCAAATACTGGACTGTCCGGTTCAAAACTGGACACCTGGCAATCCTACATAGGACTACTTGTTTGTCTGTAACTTTAAAAAACATGGCTACCCCTCTGAGACCACAACCATTTATTCTTGGAGTAGTTCCTTCTTAAAGGACATGTTTAACTATTGAGATGGATCTGTCTTCTGATGCCTCTGTTGCTTCTGCTGATGGGCCAGATCATCTGCTGTTGTCAGAAGAGTTGTGCCAATTTACACCAGTTTGTCCCACTTGTGGGTCTGTCTGGTGACCATGTGTACGACTATCAGCAGCATCCGGAGTGTCCTTTGATAAGGTCCCTCACCAAAGTTGCTTAAGTAAAGTAAGTTTTCATGGGATAAGAGGGAAGGTCCTCTTGTGGATTGGTAACTGATTAAAAGATCAGAAGTAAAGGGTAGGCATAAATGGTCAGTTTTCAAAATGGAGAGAGAACTAGTGGTGTTCTGCAGGGGTCCGTTCTGGAACCAGGTCTATTCCAGATAATTTATAAATATGTTGAACCAGGGATAAACAGTGTGATGGCAAAATTTGGAGATGATACTAAATTGTTCAAGTTAGTAAAGTCCAAAGTAGATTGAAGAGCTTCAAAAGGAACTGTACAACTAATCTGAAATGAATGTTTCTTTCATTTACCAAAGGTAACTGATGCAGATATTTATGAAGTCATTGGGAGGTGAGCTATCTCCAAGTCAACAGGTTAATCATTAATATTTGAAGGATTTTCTTGCCATGCTGTATTAGGGGAGAACATCACCAGATAGACACTAACATTGTTTTATTTAACTAAAACAACGTTCTGTATTCTGGAT